GATTTAAGAATGAGGAATCCTATGTGCCACCTAGTTGGAGTGTTGGTGCTGGTCTTTTGACATGATTTAAGAATGAGAGAGGACTTGTATGTGCCAATTTCTGCTGCTGGTCTGTTGCCCTGTGTGGATTCCTACAGTCCCGGTTAATATACAGTTTGGCTGCCAGTTTCCAATAAACATTACTTTTGTATTATTTTTACCCACAAGACATCGCAGGATCAAACTAGTTTCAAACCATAGTGCATGTTAATGTACAGGTTTTTACTGTACACACCTGTGTTTATACTTTGTACAAAGGATTATAGTGGAAATTGCATTCAGCTCATGTTCCCTACCAATAAGCCCTTCACAACACAATATTTGTTCAAGCGTTCATCTTTCTTCACATTTCAATTTTAAGTGTACACTTCGGCACACATTTTAACAGTCATGCATGTCTTTGAAATAAATTACCAATATAACTTGATAATTACTGGGTTTAAACAGATTTAAAATTTCTGTAAAAGAAAATACTCAAAATTAAAAAAAAAATATAAAGAAAACCATCAATGGTAAAGATATGCCTTAAAACAGAGAAAAAAATATAGGCCTACATGTATCCATTGACCCAGAAAACAAAGACCATGGTCAGTGACTGTGACATAAAACATGACAAAGGAAGAAGATGGCACAAAGATACCTGAAAAAATAATGGACAGACAAACTTAAAACGAAATTAATGGATATTTCAATGAGTAATGTACTACCTGTATTTATAAATCCTCACAGTTCTGCACCAGCCCATCATTTGAAAAACCCTTCCTATGTTACAGGTCACATTACCTATACGTGTAGTTTCTTCACATACCACAAGACTTTTGTTTTATCTGGCCTTTTGTTTCCTCCACAACATACATACATACGGTACATTCCTTTGCAGTGCTGAATTCAATCATATATTGAACAGTATTGGTATAGGAAGGTAAACTGATGCAGTTTACCCGAAAAATTCTCATCAAAGCAGTTACCACTGTCCCTCATGCTTCCTGTACAATTAAAACTGTTCTTGATGTGGAGAACTTACAATTTTGTTTGTTTCAGGTGCCCTATGGAGTCGACTTGAGACAAGGAAACTGTGTTCTGGTGTCCCAGCTAAACGTATGTACATGCACAAACACATTGTACATGTATGTCTTTCAAATTGTTCATTTGGAAAACCAAAATAAACTACATACGAAATAGTGGGATTGTTGTGTCAGAAAGTTTTCGTATGAGTTTCACTTTTTGGTAATAGAAATGTCAGATATTGTCTTCTCTCTTTCTTCTGGAATACATTTTCAATACATGTAGTATTATTTTTGTGTTCCAAATACACAGCTACAGTGCGCGCACGCAGTGAGCTTCAGGCTAATAGACTTGAAGATTATGGTAAATATGTGGCAGATATTTTGCCCAAGTATGTACAGCAAGTACATGTAAGCCACATCAATGAGTTGGAAGTGCTGATCAGCCCTGAGGGAATCATCCCAGTCATGACGTTCCTCAAAGACCATCATAATGCACAGTTTAAATCATTGGTGGACATAACAGCAATAGATGTACCTACAAGAACACATCGGTTTGAGGTTAGTTCCTCTAAATTTCATTGTCTTTGTCTGCAAAATGTATATTGTGAAATAATGGTAAATTCATATTTACAAGAAACAAAGGTTGCATTAGGGAGATGTTCCTTCTTTTTAAGTTGGGAGTTTTGCCCTCAATCTGTGTATATTTACAACACTGTATTATGCAGTGTTCATAGGCTTGTGAAAAATTCACAAGCTCACTCTGGTGGGACGCAAACCCACAACCTCCTGCTTGCTAATGCAGACGTCTTACCACTTAAACACACCAGGCTTGCTGGGGTCAGCTGGCTGGTTCAAGTTGACTGAGGTTGATTTGAGTTAACTCAAATTGTGGATTATTTCACAACATTTACTCTGTTCTACCACTTCAAGATAAAATACATGTACATTATTCTCGGCACACACATGGTTTGTTGACTTCTTGTTAAATAAACCTTCTGCCTTCCCCTTCACTGCCATACATTTACCAGAAATAGATAGTGGGAATTTGCTGGGAGCAGCATGCAGTGCCTGAATTCAAACTAAAATGATAAACACCTTAAATCTGGAAAAAGGTTTGAAACAAACTTTGAATTTGATTGTTACTACAGCCGACTCTCGTTAATAGGAGGATCTTGGGCCTTTAATTAGCTCATATTATCCAGACCTCGTTTTGCGCAAAAGCTGCTGTCCTGTTCGATGTACGTACATGTATCGCCAGTCGACCGTATGCATTACTTTTTGTTTAAAGGCATGCACGTTTTGTTAAATGAAGTTGATTTTTGTTTGTTTATGACAGTGAGATACAGTATAATCGATATAAAGAATAATTATAAAATGTAAACACGGAGGAAGCAGAATTTCCACCAGTCAGTGTCGATGCGGAGCGATGCCGTATCACATGTCCCGGCCCCGTACACAGCGATGAGATCCATATGCACGCACGTAACATAAGGTTAGACAATACCAAACACACACCCATAGCAAACAGCGCAAAATGGGACCAAAATAGCGCCGCCTGTTGACTCTTGTGAAGAGGTTGGCCTCCATTTTTCACTGGAAATTCAAGATTATTGCCAGAAGATCACTTTTTGTTTCAATTTCATGGGGGCTAGCCACAAACTTTTTTTTCATTCGCCTTTCAAGGAAGATACCCCCAAAATAGCTTTAAAACTAAGCGCTCATTTCTGAATGTAGCCACCTGCTTCTATCCAAAATAGGCCGGCAAATTGGGGCTTTTTGTGAAAGAAATACCCCTAACTGGAAACTATCAGTCCCAAATTCAGGATTTATAGAAATATTTCTATGATCCCTCCTGATTATGGTCTGTCTTATTGTAAAAATCCTGTGGGATCACAAAATATTAATGAGCTCGCGTGCAGAAATACAACCATTTGGTGGCATGCACCCTTTTACATTTTAGTTGGTAACCAACACCAGAGATGCGTTTGTCCCACATAAAAATGGGAAGAAACTAGCTATTGGTGGTGTGGACAGCAGAGTGCGAATATCGGATTTACTTTGGAAAGGCGTGTGGGTTTGGTGAAAAATTATTAGTGAGGGATGCACTTTTTCTTCAAAACTTATGGATGTTATTTCCTCAAACATTTTTGGACTGAAAACCACAGTTTAGTCATGGGTTTCTTAAAATGAGAGTTTATAGAAATGTCAACATCAGAAAAGGTGATATTTTCATGTTACGGTGGGGAGCGGGTAACAATTTTTTGATAGGGTTGGGCAGTTTTTTTCGGCCAGGTGTTTAGTTACGGAACATAATTTTTATTAATTTCCTGGGGGTACTTTGGTCTTGGGGAAGTTTGGGGATGCGGAATCAAACGAAAGATTTCTTTTGTTCACCACTGTCCTAAATATCGTAGCACTTTTGGCGTCACTCGCTTTTGTTCAAGAGCCGCCACACAGATTTTCTGTGTTGGGTACGGGAACTGCAAATGCCCATTGCAGCACCGGACACAAATGGCTTGATTCAGTTAGGGAAAACTGCAGCGCTGTTCTACTGTATATGCATAAATTACGGAGGCACCTTTCAAAATTGAATGGACTGGCTGATTGACAAGTTGCCTTAAACAAAGCTTGTGCTAAATAGACAGGTAACAGTAGATTTCCACTCAGCTGGTGTGCAAAAAATGCTCGTCTTAAGCGAAATCTTGTGACATCCGAGCTCGTATTACACATTTTTTCCCTCATAGGAATGTGCACAATTCAATCGGGACTGGCAAATATGCTCGTCTAAACCGGAGTCACGTCTTATCTGAACTCTTATTACCGAGAGTCATAAACATTTTGGGTAGTACCCACTCGTTCTGGTGGGGCTTGATCAGTTTACTTGGTGAATGGTTGGCAAGCATGACAAAGATTTAGGCAAGTGTGGCAAGTGTGAGGGCAAGCCTGCTCTGTTTATTCAGCAAGCTGCGAAAGTTCTGGTTTAGGGTTGATAGTACAAACAAAATAATGCAGCGGCTAGGAAATTTACGCCCAAAAGTCATACCTTCATCTCTGGGACTGGTTTTTTGTGTTTTCTGAGAATAATGGTTGAATTAAGAGAAGGATCAGCGAGGCCTTTTTGCCTTAGTATTAAAGAAGTGTCCTTGATAATAGTTGATGCATTATGATTTGATTTTCAAGGTATGGGTTTTCTTGATTGCAGCTTATCTACAACCTTTTGTCACTACAATTCAATGAACGGATCCGAGTGAAGACCTATGCAGATGAACTGAGCCCAGTAGACTCCTTAGTGCCAGTATTTCAGGCAGCCAATTGGTATGAAAGAGAGGTACGAGTAATTTTAAAGTGCTCAACCACTACATACATGTATACCCACCAATGTGTCTTAACCACTACCTGCCAGGTGACCTGTTTTCCGGTGCGTAGGCTTTATATGCAGAGCCGGGTAGCCCGGAACTGGAATAAAAGAGTTGGGCCTTATAACAAAAGACTGTGCTCAGTACCAAAGACTGAGCTGCTGGGCATTACCAACATTTTTTTGCTCTCAATAGCGGAGATAATCCAGCCTTGCTTTGAAACAGTATACCACAGTTGCCTGAGCAGCCTTAATTACCAAGAGGCAGGATAACATTTAAAAAGGATCATAGATATTGTAAAATACCGGTACCATACATGTGCGTACACCTATCAAAGATAAAAATAAGCAGGCTCTCAGCTCACAACAAATCGTGTGGACAGTATTGCTTTCTACAAACGTTTTAAAATACCAGATTGTCACAGTGACATTGTACCATGTGGGAGACATTGGTTTAGAACAATAGTCACAAAAATGTCCATGTAACACAAACAGCATATTTTTCCCCAGAAACCGTAAATATACCACTCTTTGTATGTGTACTACAAATGTAGGCTATATACAAAAATCTTACATTTGTTGATGGTTCCTTAAATGATCCTCCACCTTGAACATGACTTGAACAAAACGTTGAACAAGACTATGGGTAAGGTATATTTTTTAAATTTTGAGGTATATGTATGGATGGTAAAGAAATGGCGTGGAAAGTTTCTCGGTAACTTCATGGAAAGAAGATGGTTCCTAAGAATTAATAAATTTTCTTGGAATGTAAAGGTTTCTTCAAATTTTCCCACAGTTAAAGTTAAGTTTCTTTCTGTGATGTTGGCACAAATATTTCACTGTAACAGGTGCATCCAGTTTATTTTTTTCATAGGTTGTACTTGTAAATGTAGCCTCTTTTCCAGTAATTTTGAGGAGAGTGAAATTCAAATTGCCCTCACAGACATGATGGACAGCTTTTATGGATGGGTGCAAATGACTTGAGATTATCCTTTTTTGGTACATATAGATATGGGATATGTATGGCGTGTACTTCTCCAACCATCCTGATCTCAGACGCATCTTGACAGATTATGGATTTGAAGGACATCCCTTGCGGAAGGATTTCCCATTGAGTGGTTTTGTGGAGGTAGGACTATTTGACCATAAAAATGAGAAATGTACAAAATGTGGGACATGGTAAAATGAATTGAGGAGGCAGTTGCAGATTGTAGCACCAAAGAGATGACAGTGAAAGCCAGATGCAGCTTGTGAAATGTTTGTGGGTGCATGGGTGTTTGTGTCTGGAAAAGTCTCATCTGCAATAACTTGAGAACCACTGGACATCAACGTTGACTTCAACGTTGGTTCATGGATTGCTGTTGGTCACCTTAATAAGCCTGTTCATTTGGGGCTGAAAGGTCAAAGGTCTGGGTCACATTGACAAAGACAATAGAAATCTTGTCAGTGAAATAAGGTGGGAATACGGGCGATTCACAATAGAGCACCTCCAAGAGTTTGCAACGCGTTGGCCAATGGCAACATGCGAAACCTGTCGACCGTTTTGAAACGCCTATTGGGTTGATAGATTTTGCGCATTGTGATTGGCCAAGGGGTAGCAAACTGTTGGAGGCGCACTATTGCGAAACACCAGTATTATCCTGCATACATGCTGAAGCTTCCAATTTGGCTTTTGCATTTTTTGGTAATTTCCTATTGCATTTAAGGTTAAGGGTGAAGGTCAGAATACTATTAAAATGAAACTAATCTAGTTAGTGATCTGAAATTTTAGTTGTGAGTTTAGGCATGGGTTTGGCAGGGCATTTGTGTTCATTAACACATCATTTTTGTTTTAAATCAATTTTTGAGTTTTTTGCCTGCTATACAGGGTGTATAAAAAAATCCTACTTTGAAATATTGCGCTAAAATTAATCTATAATTTTTTGAAAGTCCTTTTACATATGTTGATAGACAATGGTTCAGTGCCATTTTGTGCAGTTGCACATACATGTACTCAACATGTCATACATGAGTGAGCACAGGCTAATTACGTTAATTGCAATGCATCTGTTTCGTGTAAAAAAGTGCTGGGATGAAAACAAGATCTAAGACCATGAGAAGCAACGTTAGGTATGCTCTCAAGTGTCCTCAAAATTTTCAGGAAATTGCTTTAATTAACCCTTTGCTCTCCAGGTAGCTACCATTTCTTTGCTGTTGTAAGCATTTAATTGCTACTTGCCTATTATCTGCCTTCTACGGGTTAATCCAAGTCATTGAGGTTGGGTTACCTGCCAAGATGACAGGGAAAGTGTGCTCAGTCCTGTTATGTCATGACCACCTTACAAAACTGTTATCAAAACGGACCATTGCCCTGAACGGCAACGTGGAATGGTCCCCGAGGTCACCGAATGTAACCCTTCTTGATTTTTTCTTGTGGGGTCATCTTAAGTCAAAAGTACTAGGGGCCTGGATGATCTTGAGGAACGTTTAATGGCAGAAGTCAGTGTTCTCAGAAGGGACAATTTGATCCAGTGTGCAGTGTACAATATGCTGAGGAGGGTCCACATCTGCCAGGAAAGAAATGGTGGACATGTTGAGGACTGTAGTGAATTCAAAAGTAATGGCAATTGGTGATAAACAAAGGGCATACCTATTGTTGTTTCTCATGGCCTCAGATCCTGTTTTCATCCCAGCACTTTTTTTGCACAAAACAGATGTATTGCAATTTACGTAATTAGCTTGTTCTCACTTATGCGTGACATGTCAAGTGTGTGCAATTGCACAAAAAGGCACTGAACCATCGTCAACCAAAATTGTATGTGTGGCAGACATGGGGGGGGGTGTTCTAGCTGCCTTTCCAGGGGACATATTGCCTTTTTAGTTATGGAAACACTCGATGGGCCACGTGCTGAGGTGTATGTAGTAAACAGTACAGCTTAGCACTGTACATTTTTCCGCTAGGACTTATTATTACGAACATTATTGTTATAAGTACTAACTGCAGGGGTTCTGTATAGTTGGGACAGGATGCATGCATATGGTTATTTCATCAGATCAGAGTGAAATGAAGGTGTTAAAACCAAGTATCATGTTTCAGTTGGACTGCAAGTCAAATCTAGGGAAAACAGGAACTGGGATTTTTCTGGAAGGGTAACGTCTAAAGGTTATTGCCAAATTTAAATTGACAAAGGTTTGAGAGCCAGTTAAAGACATTCAATGTGTAGAGTGCATTTTTCTCCATTCATATTACTGGATTGAAATTCTTAAAATGATAATTAAATGTCACGTTTCAGGTAAGGTATGATGATGAGTTGAAGAGAGTAGTTTGTGAACCCATTGAGATGGCACAGGAATTCCGCAAGTTTGATCTGGCAAGTCCATGGGAAACCTTCCCTGAATACAGAGATGGTACAACACAGTTACCAGCCACAAGTGAAGAAGGGGATAGCACAGAAAAGAGTTCATCTTCCTAACATAGAATCTTTAATTCATTAGTGCATTTACATGTATTAGCGTGTTAACCACTCCCTGCTGGGCGACCTGTTTTCGAGTACATAGGCTTTATATGCAGAGCACGGGAGACCGGAACTGGGACAAAAGAGTTCGGCCTTATAACAAAAGACTGTGCTCAGCACAAAAGACTGAGCTACTGGGCATTACTGACATTTTTTTGCTCTCAATAGTGGAGATAATCCAGCCTTGTTTTGAAACAGTATACCGCCTGTTGAGGCATTTAGAGCGAGCGGGTTACCACCGGGGACAAAAGGCTCCACCACTGCATTGATGAGCCACTCAGCACCGCTGCATGCTAATCTGGCCCCTATTGAAAAGAGGTCAGCAGTGCACTGTGCCGGTTTCGGGAACAAAAGAATCTTACGCAACATGACACAATCTGGGCTCTTTTTCCAAAGCTGCAGGCCTGGCTAAAATATTCAAAAGTCAATGAAGCTTAACTGTCAGATTTAGAATAGTGCCCAAAGAGTCCTTCGTGTAGGTATGAACGGCCATTAAATGAAATGATAAATTTTTGAAGAATTTTGAAAACGGAAAATCTTGAAAAGGACCCGGCATCTTGTCTTGCTCAAGAAAAATCCAGCCTCCAGCAAGTGGTTAGTGTGTATTGAAGAAGTGGAAATATTGAGTTAAATGTTCTAATTGTACATTACATTGTAATTGAAATGGTGTGTACAGATCTTGTGTGTATGCAGCATCCATCCATACATTTTAATACAGGGACATCATTTTCATATTGGGGGGTTACTGTTGGGGAAACATAACAGGACAAACCATTTAGGAATCAGTAGACTTAATAACAACCAAGCAGTAAGCATTTAAAGAGTAGAAGGTTTCAGAGTTGACTTTGTGAACTTTTCACCTGATTTCATGTAAAAGGGAACAAACCGAAAAGTTGCATCTATTTTCTCCCAAAATACATGTTATTGCCAGAAATTGTTTTGGTATCAGGTTACAGATGTTTGTGTTTCTATTGCAGTTTTGCCGAAAAATTCATTTGAAGTTCATATTGCATTGCAGATATTTTGGATGACGTTACAGGAATCAATTTGTGTTATGTTTTACCAGCTTATCTTGCAAGTGTATGCAGTCACTGAATTCAAATCCCAAATTAACACTCAGCTGTTTTTGTTCATTACTTCTTTAGAATGTCTTTTCAGTTCTAAACTTGGTGAAACTGATGCTTATTTCAGAAGACATGGTTGTTTAATTAATTCTTCATTTTCAGAATTTTAGTTTGCCTCAGTTGAAACAATTTTGTCTGCTGCCCTGCAGAAGGGCATTTTAAGCAAGCTGTTACAATGCAAGTTATGTTTAATAAATGCCTCAACACCCTTGTGCCAGGCTCATTACAAAACTGTTGCGACTTGGTGAAAAAAGTCAAGCAGAGTTATAGTGCATGTTTACTATGAATTGAATAACAGAGTGATCCATTGACAGTTGTTTTATGTTGTTACATTTGCATTTTGACAAATAGACATGCCACATCCAAATAGTCTACGGGTGCCCAGATATCCAGACAAGGGTACACCCCTCTGGCTACGCGTAAATGCTTGTACATGTAGTAATAAGGAAGGAAACAGAAAATAATGGTTAAACGAAGTCCTCACGAGCCAACTACAAGCACCGAGTCACAAACTGCTCTGATGAACTGTGACAAAGGTATCTCTTTTCAAGTTCTGTCAAGTTACAGGCCAGTAACTGGAACCTTTTGATCAATTACGTGTTTGTGCCTCAATTTAGTGTCTTGCCCAAACACTACACTAAATTTGTTCAAATTACAAGCAAGTTGAATCAACACAACTAATAGTCAAAGAGTCTTTAACCTGGGCCTATTTGCATCACTAGGATTTTTCTAGAGAGGGCCTGTGGGGGTGTTTTTCTGGTGGGGGGTGTATAAACCATTATCAATGAAAAGGGTTAATTCTGATTATTTTGAAAGCTCACTGGGGACATTCTTCCCTTTTGCTCCCTTTTTGTTTCACGTTTTCTTTTTTTGGGGGAGGGGAGTTCCCTCTTGCTTTCACTTCTGACACCCATGTGTGGTCTAGCATCGACCCCATGATAAGCGACATCAAACAGTTATGCCAAAAGTTCTGACAAACAATCCAACATGCTAACAAGCAATTACAAATCATATAGATCTGTTAATTAATTATATATAACAGGTTTTGCCCTACGTATATTAATAAGCACTGGGGTCGGCTGGCCGGTCCGAATCAAGCAAGCTCGGTGGTCGAGTGGTTAAGACATCTGCACTTGTAAGCAGGAGGTCATGGGTTCAAGTCCCACCCGAGTAAGCTTATGAGGTTTTTTCACAAGCTCTCGGACAAGCACTGAGCATACAGTGCTTATTAATATACGTTGGGTAAGGGCAAAACCTGTTATATATAATTAATTAACATCTCCCCAACGCAAAAAAAAAATACATCTTGAAAAAAAGCATATAGATCTGCTTTTACACTGGGTCTGTGATTCTAGAATTCAGAGGAACATCTTTATTTCTGAAAAACTTTCAATGAGATAACTTCACAAAGATTTGGCTCAACCCCATGTTGACAAAGTTGGACATGGAGACATACAATTAAATCAGTATTTTGAGACACTTTAACATTTCTAAGGTAGCATTAGAAGCTCAGAACTACATGTTAGTCAATTTCTACAGATAAAAACAAGTGCAAAACATTCATTAAAAATTTACAGGGCAATATAGGCAACGCTACTTCAGTATGCTTTGTCTACATGTGCATGAATTGTTCAAGGTACAGACTGACCAGCTACATGCATGTGATCATGTCATTTCTAGATTTACACTTGTTATGGTAATGAAAAAACTCATTCTAGGTGATTTTTAAAGTTTAAAAAGTCCTTGAGGTTCCTTTTACCCAAAACACTACAAAACACTTAAATCTACCTGTATGTTATTAAAGTAAAATGTAATTTGTGCTGTCTCCACTATAATCAATAGAAAAATTAGTTAAATGAAAACAAATATCTACACTATTTGTTTATAAAGGAAAACGTAACAAATATTCATGGAGTTGAACAAAGTCACCAAATACCAATTACTCTAAATTATAGCAAGACATACATGTACAAGTTCTGACTTACAGAACTACAGTGGGCAGGCTGTCACAAGGAAGGGAGTGGGGCTGCCCCCCCCCCAGCAAAAAAACCCCGAGCATCAAAACTGATGATTGTTCTTGTGAAGTGCCCCCTGCTTGGTGTACTGTGGTCTCCTCCCCTGTAATGTCTGAAGATGGCGACAGGGCTACTGATGGGTTACTTCTGAGCTGTGAGCACAAGTTGCTAACTCTTCAATCTTGCTTGCTGTGTTGATGGACAGAAAGTGGATATGAATGGGGTGGTAGGAATATAGCTGAGACTGTGACCTGCTTATTATAGAGTACCAAAGCGTGATGTCATTTGGAACCAGGAAGTGTAGTGCAAACGAATGTAGTACGCATGCATTTATTCTTGCTCTAATGCCTTCACATACAATCATGCATGTGACGTATTCCCCATCTCACACATCAAACCATATGTGGACTGCTAACCAAACTATTTAATGGTATCTCTGCTACTTTCACCATAAAGTTGGTAACAGTAATCTCTAATGGGAGCAGTGAAATGGTACAATCATACAGTCAGCTGTTGAAGCAGGGCAATTTTTCTTTAATAGTTGAGGTTCATTTCTTAACACTGATAAGCTTCTTAACGTAATGTCTGCTGAGCTGGAAGACAGGTGCAGATTTTTGCCCCAAATAGTTTTCCAGACTTGAAGACATTGCTTTTGAGCAAGACACATGCAACAAACAAAATCAAAAGCCTATGCCTGTTTGCAAACCAAAGCACACCGTTTTTCTGCATTTTGAATGATTTTGAGGAAAATAGAATAGGGCTTTAAAGAATGGATCTTTGATGTCATATGACTTTTCAACTCATGGTGTCATCATTACAAGATATCAATTTTTGTCTATAACCCTTCCCTTTCAAACTATCTGCAAAGTTTCAATCTGATGGGACATGTACTTCAGGAGATATAGGGCTTTAAAGAGTTGACCTTTAATGTCATGTGACCTGTCACTTAATAACGTCATCATCACATGAAGTCCATTTTCATCTTTGATACATCCCTTTCAAAATATCTGCAATGTTTCAACCCAATCGGACATGTACTTCAGGAGATATAGGCCTCTGAAATTTGTATCTTAACCACTACCAGCCGGGGACTCCGAAATCGGAGCCGTATGGTTTATATGTGTGGCCGGGGTCTCCGAACTCGGACAAAGGAAACAGGGCCCTGTAACAAAAGACCGTACTCT